TAGTCTGCCAGATAGCTAGAAGTCATGTAGCGAGAGGGTGAGGGAGAGATGGTGGACTTAGAGGAGGAAGAAGAAGAACTCTCTCTCTCTCTCTCTTGTGCCAAATACTAACCTGTGAAGGTGGCGCCTTGTTGCAGGTACATCGAAGACGAAGCTGGAGCTATGGCGCCACAGGTAAGTCTCCCTGGCCTCCGCCAGCCATCTCTCTCTCTCCAACGCTACTCTAGCTCCTAATAGCGCCCAGCGCTGAAGACTACTGCTAACGCTACTACTACTACTGCAGCGCTCCTCCAGAGTGCTGCAGCTGAATCCTGAAGACTGCCTCCTGAGCTGCCCGTGTGAACTGCCTGTGAACTGCCTGCAGCCTGCAGGGCAGACCAGTACTATATAGTGCTGGTCTGGCTGGGAGGCTGCTCTTGCCCATGCCAAATCGTGCCAGACCCTGGTGTTGGAGTTCAAACAAAGGTTGTCTTGAAACGGGCAACCCTGGTCTGGCCCCTAAGTTTCAGGACAGGTCGAGTTAATGAGGGCCTAAAAGTGGCCCTCCTTTTCAGGCTTTTAGGCTGAAACGACACAGGGCCTGGAGGGCCCTTATTTTCCGTCTGGTCGGGCCCTGCAGGCCCGTGTGGATGTGCAGTATGCCACACAGTACACTTGACTGTTTTTCCTCGCTGCAACCACCTCACAAGTCCCGGCCACAGGTTACTACCAGGCCCGAGGGCGTCACAACACACACAAGCACCCTGGCCGGTCACACACACACTCACGCACTCCATCATCCAAACAGACACATGGAAACCAGCAAGCACGCTCACACACACACAGTTTGAAATCTCAGCGGAAAGCAGGAATCTCACCAGACACACAATCCAGCGGCGATACTCGCGAAATCAGCGCAGTTCTCAGTCTGTGATTTTGCACGTCATTACACTTTGATCAAAACGACTTGAGTAAAAAGTTGTCAGCTGAGGGAAAGCTGCAGCTCATGACTGTGTGACACGCCATTTTGTCATTCTCTGAGTGTGTGTATTGTCATGTTGTTCGCAACACAATACCTCCACCAAAAGAAGCAATGACTGTTCCATTCAACATTCACCGGCTCGTCAGGAGTTTGAAGTTTGAACCCCCGCAGTCTGCCAGGGTGCATTTGACTAATGGGGATAAGGGCACTCAACACCATGCCACGTCGCCCAGAGTTAGTGATACCCTTGAGAAGTTGAGAGAGAAAAGTGGGTTGGCTTTATGCACACCAGCCCTGAAATCCTATCCTAGCAGATTTCCGATCCAAACCCCTGACAAGAGTGTCAATAAGTCCGAGAATTTTTTTTTTTTTTTTTTTTTTTTTTTTTTTTTTTTTTTTTTTTTTTTTTTTTTTTTTTTTTT